TCGCGGAGAATCCCGCCCTGCCGCGTCCCCACACGCCCGGCCCTCTGCGCGCGCTCCGCGGCGCTCCCACACCCCGGAGGAGGGCGGGGAGGCCAGCGTGACACTCGGCGACAGAGCTCCGACGCCCTCCCCGCCCCCCATGCATCGCTCAGAAGGAATGGAAAATCAGGGCGAAGTGAGGAAGGTAGAAGAGGAACGCAGAGGGAGCTGGCTGTCCAGGTACGGGAGGATGGACACGCTCACCCTTCCCAGACAGGTGAACCTCGACAGGGAGCCTCGACCGAGGAACTGCGCCATCTGCATGGTGTGCTTAGCTGGCACCGTCGGGAAACCCTCGAGGCTGAGTCCTTTAATCCGTTGGATACGGCTTAACACCAGGGAGATGCGGGCAGGGGACGCGCAACGCTTGATAACGAGTAGTTCTTCAGTTTGTTCTGATTTAAACGGATTTGTTTCAAGTCATGGACAAAAAGCAATCCTGGAATTGATAATACGGATGGGAGCAAGGGACACAGCTGTTCACACCCAGGCTAGTTCTCAAGACTGGTTAAAATGGAACACCCACCCACTATGCGCGCGCAAAATCTGAAAAGAAATGCTCCAGCTCCAGCATCCCAGGGGATGCTGGGAACCATGCCCTGGACTGTGCTGGCCAGGTAGAGTCGGGGCGACCTGGGCCTTTTGTGTGTTCGACGTGGTGTTCAAGGAGATAGTGAGGACGCAGCGCCGTCTGGTGTTGATATTGCTGAGAAGCAAGAAGATTTAGCGCTATCCAAGCCGGCAGCACGAGGCCCATATTGAATTCGATTTTCTGAATGATGCCACCTTCACCTCTACAGCTTGAAAAAGGTGAGGGAGGGGCCCAAGACTTCAAAACTATCCAGATATTCGTCAGTTTATCCCAAAATTCAGCAATGTGGATAACAGAAAGAATGCAAACCTACGAACTTCCCAATAACCCTCTTTCTCCAGGAATAATAATGATTGGTTCTAAAACAGCCCAGGGGCTCAGAAGAAGGATATTAAAAGAACATGGGTAATTTTAGGGGTCTCTCTGATAAAATAATTTTAAAAGCACATGGCCAAGTGTTTGTGATAATACTGTTGGGGAAACACACACACACAGTGGCTAAGGGGTGGGAGCCAGAAAAGAAGAAGTGAAAGCTTTCATTTGTTCAGCCATCAGAACTCATTTAGCTATTTCCTGGCTTGAGTTTTCATGTCTATAAACTCAAAGCAGACCCGATTTAGGACACATTTATTGAAGGCCCACTATGACGCGGGTCCTGGGAAGAGAGAAAGAAGAACCCAGCCCCTGCCTGTGAGAATCTAATGAATGGACCGCAGGATACTAACAACTACAATGACAGAATTGCAGAGACTGTGACAAATGTAGCCGTGGGTCCTGATTGTCACTGGGGTATGATGAAGGGGCTGCAGCCACATGGACCTATCTGAAACCTTCCCGTGTAAGGGAGGCATGATGGGAGGTCTACCTGGAGAAGGTGACCCTACAGGAGACCTGAGCTGGAACTAGAGTCAACTCTTTGCAGAGTTATCTTATTTTAAGCAAACTCTTAATTATTCAAGCACTCACTACTAGGCACTGTTCTAAATCCCTTACACACACATATTTTTTTTTTTAATTTCTAGACACTATTTGCACTTGAAAGAGAAAGAGAGAGAGAGAACACCCCTCAATTGAGCACAATCCTGTTCCCACCATTTCTCCATCCTGTCAGAATTCTGGGCCCAAATACACATGCACCCATCATATTTTTCAAGGAACTCGAACTGTGGTTGGCCATGTGGAATCCATTCAGCCCTTAACACATCTTAACTCATTTAATCCTTGCCATAAATCTATGAAGTGTTATTTATTACCCCATTTAACAAATGGAGGCACTGAAGCAGAGAAGTGAAGTAACTCACACGAAGTCAGTTACTAGTAAATGGTAGACCTGGGATTCGAATGCTGGCAATCTGGCTCCAAAACTCCACATGTGGAACTGTTATCTTATTCCGGAGACATAGAAAATATCCTACTTTCTTTGACTTTTTTTCTTCTTTCTTTTTGCAGAACATCTGGACTGTTTTAGGCCTACTTCATCATTATTATTCCTGTAGAAAAAGATTTTCAGGAGAGGAAGTGAATTTGCATTCCCCAATTTTGAGATGATTGGCTGAATAGCTGGACCTCAGGAAGTAATCTGGACAGAATAACAGCACGGTCAAAGACCTGGAAGCCTAGAAACACAGCAAACACTGCAGTGCTCGCAGTAGGCAGGGGTGAGGCCTGCTGTAGGCAGGGTCGGGAGATGGATCTGACAAGGTGGGCTAAAGTCTGGTCCTACAGGATAAAGGAATCGGGCTTCTTCCTAGTGGAAACGTAGAATCACCAAAACATTGTAAGCAGGTAAGAATGTTCCCGTTACTATTAACTACTTAGTCATAAACTGAATTTAGTGGCTTAACATAATCGTTTTATTGTGATCACAAATTCTGTGGTCAGGAGATAGAACAGAGCATAGCTAAGACAACTTTACTTTGCCCCATTGCATCTGGAGTCTCAGGTGGGGCTAGACGATCCACATCTACAAAGATTCTCGAGTCTGGTGCCTTGGAGAACTTGAAAGCTGCCTCACCTGGGATATTTCACCAGAGCACGACACATGGCCTGCCCATGTGACTTGGACTTTTCACAGTATGACAGCTGGGTTTCTCGAGGGAACTTCCTGAGAGAAAGCCTTCAGAGAATGCAGGACCAATGGAAGCTTCGTGGCTTTTCTGCTCTCATCTTGGAAGTCACGCAGTGTGGTTCTGTAGTCACAGGCCTGCCCATATGTAAATGGAGGATGCCCCACCACTCAATGGAGGAGTGCAAAATAATTTATGCCCAGATTGTTTTTTCTTAGTTTTTGCTATAGGGTGTGTGTGCTTGCCAGAAAGAGATGGAGAAAGTGAGAAATCACCCCCAAGGGGGATGGTCACATCACAATCCCTTCTCCATTCTCTTCTCAGGATTTGGCATGCACACACATGCACCTGGGGTGTTTTTCAAGCCAGTGTATCCAGGACTTGAACCAAAGAGATGGCCATGTGAGATTTACCCACCTTAACCACCACTCCACTGGTTGGCCCAAGCCCAGATTTATTTATTTTTATTTTTATTTTTGTAGAAATTCTTGTTATAGGGTGTGTGTGCTTGCTGGAGAGACAGAGAGTCAGAAAGCAAGAAATCATCCTCCAGGGTAGATGGCCATGCTGCAATCCCTTCTCTCAGGATTTTGGGTATGCACATATATGCATCTGGCATGAGTCTCAAGCCACTGGGTCCAGGACTTGAACCACGGTCAATCATGTGTGAGTCTAGCACCTTAATCACTTCGCCACCTGTTGGCCCCCTCAAGACCATCATTACGAGATATGCTTATTGGGAAGAGTGCTCAGTCAACAGCATGGAGGATGGAATGAAAGTGAAAAATGGGGTCGCATGCCCATATGGAGTACATGGGGTCTAGGTAGAAGGACTTTTTCTTACCTATAAGTACCTAGATTGGGGAAGGGATAGTTCTCAAAGGAAAACTGGGTATTATTAACAAAGAGGGAATGTTGGTTTGATGGGTCTGGAGGTGGTGGGAACTCATTGGTTAAGCGGCCAGCATAGACCATTTTCTAGACAAAAGTTGGACATTTAATCAAACTGAGGCTGAGTAAAGCAATTTGGGTAAAAGATTTGGGAATCATGAGCATAAAATGGTAGTTAAATCCCTGTATGCAAACGAAAAATAAAAGTAGAGGGCTGAGGAGAGTCATTCGAGGTTACTGTAATTAAGCAGAAAAGAAGAAGGGTGAGATGTTGAAATAGAGAAATATACATTCGTGGAAGCCAAAGAGGAAGATCTTAAGGAGAATGTAGTCAGCAGTGTCAAATGCCACATAAGAGTAAAGTAAACCCCCCCAAAATATAGTTAAGAGGCTCTGCTTTGTTGAGTTCCAGTTTGAAAGTCTTATCCACAGGCCCAGCAGGTGACATGGTAGTTAAGGCACTGGTTAAACTCCCACGTGGCCAACTACAGTTTGAGTCCCAGACCTGGTGGCTTGCTTTCCCACTTCCCCTCTCTCTCCCTGTCTCTCTCTGCTAACTATAGCAAATTAAAATAATAATAATTAATAAAATTAAATAAATAATTCTCTATAAGAAAAGTCTTACCCACTGTGTCCATTTTCAAGGAATTTATCTATTTTATCAAAGTTGCTGAATTTGTTGGCATTAAATTCTATTATTCTCAGTATCTTTTAATGTCTGTCAAGTCTGTAATGATGTCTCCTTTTCTTCCCTGAGATTGTTTGTGCTTTCCTTTTCTTTTGATCACTCTTGGAAGGGGCTATACCATGCCTATCTGACATTGTGACTATGGTTGATGTTAGTAAGAGAGTTTAAGTTCTTTTTTTTTTTTTTTTTGGGGGGGTTTTTGAAATAGGGGCAACTGCTTCACCGGA